AGCCCCAACCATGGTGAGGCTGTGAGGTAGTCTGTAAGATTCTCTCACCGTGCATCTCTATTCGAATTCCATTATCCGCCACTGCCAATTACCAATTTCTCTACTCATATGTTGTTGATTACTAGTTGTCAGTTCCCCTCTCCATCTGGATGGCGAGTTGCAACTTCCCCTCTCAATGGCCAGATAGGCCTACTGTTCTCGTCTTTAACCAGTTACTCCCTATTGAACCATAAGGCATATGACTAGGCCTACACAGAGTCACCAAAAAAATACAAAACCAGTACGAGAACGCTATAATTATAATTAGTCTAGCAATTAGTTCATGCCGTTATCTCTTTCATATGTGGTTCTTCTCATCTTTAGTCTAATGACTTTCATAATTATTGCAGTCACCACGCAATCCTATACTCGTGTCCATTATCAGATTTCATTGTTCTTACCTAAGAAGTTCATTAATCTAGCTCTGTTTTGAACAAAACTAATATACTTAAGCGAACTAACTGAATCACCCTCATTTAAAGGGATATTTACACGTGTCATCGTAGTAATTTATGTGAGCCCACATTTTATCATGTTGTATATGATGAAACTGAAACATCCTCAAATATTTAACTCATGATGAAGCACTTTTCATGATTTATGGGTCCGATGACCATCGGGGGGGGGGGGGTGACCGCACGCACAATTTGACTGAAAAAACGCGGGCACTGTCACTTTACGGTTCTTTAAAATTTATCAGCCAGACACGAGATGCAATTAGCAACTGTCGCTTTATTGACATGCTTCGGTACACAACAAACCGCCCTTAACCATCAATTACCAGTCGTTATTATCCAAATAGGACCTTAATGATAATAATTATAAATCAATAAAGATTCCCATAGGAAGTGTTCTTGTCTGCTTCTTTCCTCCATGGTCCTAGCAAAATACTGTATATACCCCTGAGCTCCGAGTGAGTCAAGAGTGATGTAGCATAACGCCACTCTCGACATGACCACCTCGGCACACCTCGGCGTCTGACATGCGTTGCTTTAGCTAAAAATGCCTTTAATTGGTTCATTTACCCGGTGGCAAACGAAGCGTGCGTAACGCCTCCGTGTATCGAGTTACGTGTGCTTGTCTACGTTTATATTTTAAATTCGTATACAAGAATGGTGATACTGTAAAATCAATGGTAAGACTGAAATATCTATGTACAAGATACTCTCGGTGGAAATATGAAATTTCGTAGAAGTTTTTTTTTTGGTAATCAATTTGTAATTGATTTGTTATATCTGTTTATACTTCAGCAGGTAGGCCCATTCATATACACCACGTGCTCACACAAATACGTGTGAGCATGGGTCATCTTCCAGTACAATACTGTTTTATTGTCTATATCCATACATGGCCTAATATTGTTCTTAAGTCTATGCTTCAAAATATAGGCCTATATAGACATATATATATATATACAGTATATATAACATATATAATATATATGTATATGTATATATATATGTATATGAGTATGTATTTATATGTATATATATATATATATATATATATATATATATAAATTTTGAAAGGCAAATGGGAAAAAACCATAAAACAGCAAACGGCCACATAATGCAAAACTATTTAAAATTAAATCGGAACAGTAGAGAAAATCCGATCAGAATGACAAAACAAACTAAGCATCCACTGGAAGGAATCCCAATATCTGCAGACGGATCCATTTCGGCTTTCCAGGCCTCATCAGTGCAGCTAGGGTATAGACCCAAACGAAACGTTCGACCAGCCGAACATTTCGTTTGGGTCTATACCCTAGTCGAACGTTTCGTTTTTCGAACCACCAGTTCCTTAGATACATAACTCAATGAAAAAAACGATGAGACGTCAACGACTTGGTAGACTTAGAACACAAATCTTATTCAAAACATGAATATTTCAACCCGTCCTCGGGTCTTCTTCAGCATGTGTGATAATAATGAAAATAATAGTAATTATTTGCAATACTATTATTTGCATTATTATTATATTACCTATATTATTTTTTTATTTTAACGTATAGACCCATTGACTTATATATTTTTCAGCACATCTGTATTTTTTTGATTGCCTATTTTTGTTTAGTATGCCTTTTCATTCAGTCATTCTATAGTATTATTATTTATAGAGCACATACCGGTAACGCTTAAAGCCTCTATGCGCTAGACCTTTGCTTTGACTTCCCGTATGAACTATACATATTCCTTAAACTAAGGACTTTAAGAGTACAGAAACCTACGGTACATTTTTAATACTCCGATACTATCACAAATGTTAAAGACATGACAAACGTCCCATTTTAGTGTATGCTTGAATTGACGAAGGTACCCCTCATTGGAAAAGACATCCATACAAAGAAAAATCATTATTGTTAATACGACATCGTTCGCCTGTTTGATTAAAACTATATTACGTCGGACTACTAATGCGTGTCTACTGGTGTAGCTCCCTTTAATGGAATTAATTTCCATTTGCCTCAGGACTAGAAGAAACTCAAGGTTAGAAAAAAAAAGAGAAACAAAGCATTTTTCTTCTAGTTAACAGTCGAATGTAATGTTTGGTAATTATGATGATTACTTTTCGGTCCCAGTTTATCATATGGGGCATGGTTCAAAGCTTATTTTTGACACATGACTCGAAAAAAAAACCCCAAGTTCACTCCCTAAACTATATTGGAGACTTAGTTTATATTAGTATACTGGGCGTCTAAGAGAAAAGTAGTTATATGCTACTACTGAACAGGATCCCCAATTTAATGGAATTAAATTCCATTTGCCTCAAAGGCAGAAGCCACTCAATGTTATGCACAGGAGTTAAAAAAGAAAAAAAAAACGAAAAAAAAAAAACCATAACAAAGATTTTGTATTTAGCAATATTATTGATCTGATGTAATGTTTTGTCATTTTGATGCTTGCCTTGTATAAGTGGGTCACGGGTTCAAATCTAGAAAGTTTAATAAGTATATTCTTAGATCCTCTGAGACAAATAGATTCTTTTCAACTATTCGACGTGCTAGGTCAACACTGTTTGTTTTCAATTTTCCTTTTAAGTCTATTTACATGTATAAATGAAATAAAATGTGTTTTGGTGAGTATTTCATTAGAAGATTTAGGCCTAAACTAGTATTAGGGATGATAGAGTGCGTCCTCATTAATAATTCGAAAATGATGTGTAAACGAATGTTTAGGCGCTTTACACACTGTTAACAGTTTATGTAATATACCTTGTAAGTTGAGATGATTAATAAATAAATATAATTAAATAAATATAATGTGAGCTTATGTTGAAAATATGCTAAAATATTTGTAAATGAAGTTTTATTTTCGGCGATACTGTTTGTCGTCTGCGAGAGGGCGGTGTTGTAGAAATTATTGTTATCAAGTACAGACTGCGGGGTATTACAGAATGACGATCAACATCATTTTAAGAAGTGCATACTTATTGATTTGATTTTCTTTCTTATACACATCTAGATGTGTATAAGAGAGGGGTTTCAGACGGTGCAATTGCACTCCCTTAAATTATAGTAAGAAAATATTTGTTGTATTGTTGATATATTATTTTTAAGCATAGTACAGGTAAGATTAAAGTATGAGAGCGCAATTTCCAGGCGCCATAAGGTCCATATTCTAAAAATGTTCTGGTGTGGACTCTCACGCCCCATACCGCCCATTCCTGCATCCACCACAAATTTGGTTATTTGACATTGTTCCTTTTCAGTTGGCACATTGGTTGTGATTTGGGATCTAAATTTCCAGGTCGGGTTCGAACCCACGCTCCGTGGTGGCGCCAGCGTGGTGGGTGGGGGATTTCCCCTCCGTCGGACAGGCCTGGACACCTGTCGTCCAAAGCACGTCGGATCACGATTTAAAAAAAATAATAATTTGCCTATCCAAATAACGTTATTTTGACTGCCAATTTCTAATATTGTGGTCTAAAAGCACACTTTGGTCCACACTAAGCCATAAAAACTCTCCCTGTGAATTCTACAAGGAGTTTTTGCCGTCGACCGATGCTTGGTCGGCCCCTTGGCTCAGACCCCTCCGTCGGAAATTTCGAACCCCTTGTCGAATAATATCTGGCGCACTTCCCACGCTGCCAATTTCGTTGTGTTGTTCACATGACCCACGATTGTGTCCTTTTCCACGAATCGGTAGACATCTTGAAGTGATCACTTCAAGATGTCTACCGATTCGTACAAAAGGCCTTATATTCGTCGTATTATTATTTACTAAAGTGGTGCTCTGACTTTTTAAACTTACCTGCGAACTTAAATTTAGTTTCAAAGATTTTATGTCAAATATTAGTTAACCATTGATTTATTGATTTTCAATGCAGTGTTTTCTTTTGATCAGTTTTTGTAATATTGTGTTGCCTTGACGGCAGTGTATTTGCAGTTGGGCAATCCTACTACACCTATCCATCCACTATTATATTTTGATGTCTGTTCACGTGATTTCATGTAGGCCTACTCTCATAGAAATGTTCTTTTCACGAGAAACATAACATGCAGATTAAATGATATTCATAAAACAGTTAATTAAAATACAACATACCTATATCTTACGATAAATACTAGACTTATATATAGAAAATAAATCAAAATCATAATAAAAGTGTGTATTGTGGACTGTGGATTATGGACTTGTGGATGAACATAGATTACTGTATGTGGATTATAAGTCAGCCCCTAGGCTGTACATCATCCTCCAATAATACTCTCCTCTTTATAATCCAAAAAAATAAACATTTACAATGGAAACAAATATGATTTTGAAGTAGTATGATAGGCTGTAAATAAGATTAAATGATATATGTAAATATATAATATGCAAAGAGAATTTAATATTTCACTCAAGGTCTTCATGTTAATGCATGGTGTAGGCCTACATCTCTACGGATGAATTCGTCTGCTAAACTAATCAAGAGAAGAGAAAATAAGACACTAGAAAATGATATATAATGTACGTTAATTTATTATATGACTTTGAATCGTTCTATTTTTTAAAATTATTTCACGTTCTAAAATATAATTTACCGACTCAATAACAACAACAACAACAACAAAAAGACATAAAATTGTAGCACACAATTCAAAAAATATAATACAATTTTATGAGCAACATTTCGTAATCATATCTGCTGCCAGAGCATAGTAGTAACAGTGGTTAAAACTAGTGATTAACGGCGTGTGTGTTAAAATACGGAGATCGTTCTGTCTTGATTTAGTCCAGTCAACAGTAACTTTAGCAGTGGTGGATTCAAAATTGCAAGAAATTGTAGAAAAAAGAAAATTTTAAGTAGTGCCATTTCCGGCCATCTAAAGGTGCCATAATCGTACATTTTCTTACCATGGTTGGCGCTAAGGTGATAGACCCTCCATCTGTCAAATTCCCTCCCTGGGCCCCCCTCTATTTTAAATTCCTGGTCCGCTACTGTTTAAAGTACTGTCTTGTTTAAGAAAAAAACGTTTTTTTGTAATGTCCTGTTATTAGCGTGAGTGAGATGAAGGCATGCCTTCATGCGCCTCAAAGCAACTGCTCTTTTGAAGGCCTACTGCTAATGGACCTTTTTGGAATTTTATTCAAACATAACAACTCACCAGTCAGTACAGGGCCAGAAATACGCGCATGTCCCACAAAGACTTGTCTATATTACGTACCGCTAGGCCCTACTCGCTGTCGTTTTGTGGTAGACCTACCTTAGCAACGATCAACGGGCCGGTTAATTTGACGCACTGAGACTACCGATGACGTAGGCCTACCAGGGGTGGGGTTCCCGGATTACAATATTATAATAGTTCTATGGTTTGAAGATGACATTTCATTTTAATCTGATATAAGCTCCGATGAAAAATGCAGGCAGCTATAGTATTATTAGTCGTCGCATAGGCCTACTTTAATAAACTATACCGCAGCCAAGTGGTTATCAAATAATTAATGATGGCGAACATATTGCGACGTGCATGCTTGCTACGCAGTTTGCAATGGCTTCCATTTTTCACGTCCTGCTTTTCATAAGCCCGCATTCATTCAATCATCTATTCATCCGTTCATCCACAATGTTTAAAAAAAATAATGATTCTGAACTTTTCGTCTTGTAGGCTTTGATACACTGCGCGTAGCCATCAGACACATCAGCTTAACGCATTGCCAATTACTTTTATCTGTACAGAAGAAAGTAGTGTACTTGCTTGACGGTTGATATTTTAGGCCCACAGCCAGCATACATAAATTAACAATATGCAACGTGGGAATGGCATTTAATCGTTTAAATAATTAAATAACCAGACAATTCATTTAAACAAGTCTGATGTTTCGCCGTTCTCTGGCGAATCGTGCTCCATGGACGAGTAGCCATCATTATTGTAAGGAATCGGGAATAATTCTTGTTCTGCTGTTTTGTCGGTGTTTTCCTTTTCGCATCCATACATGGAGTCTAATCTTGAACGCACTTCGGGAATCGTGACGAATAGGTCGACCAGGAGAAGAACCACACCAAGTCCAATAAGAAGATAAACTGAAATGAAAAATATCATTTATTATTTTATTAGATGTTAATGTGATATTGGTACTTTTTAAGGAATACAGTATACACGTTTATCTGTCAGATTATTCTATTCAGACAAAGTGTGTTTGGTCGGACTTTTGACTGACTAAGTAGAATATCATTTTCTGAAGAAAAAATATTTGTATATACGATATTGATATTAATAATAATAATAATAATAATAATAACTAGAGGGCACTCATAACTCCGCCCACATTATAATTCTCCTCAGTATAAATTTTCCCCGTATATTGTTCCCATAAAAAAACAGACTCGTAGGGATTTGAAATGGGGCTGGTAGTGTGGAAAACACTCTTCTAACCACTACACCAAACTATTGTCCCATAGGCCTATATACCACTTTGAAATTAATGGTCATATGTTTGCTTGCACTTTACCGGCAAGCCCGTTTAAGTACACACACGTCTATACGGCAAACAGTTATACACATTTTTCGATCATTGTATCCTTGATCTTTGACCCTGACCCTTCAAAATTAAGTCACTTTCAGATCTTGGAACATTGTGGCTACGTTTGACAAATTTCTGATAACAACTGTTTCAAAAAATCGTTTTTTTTTGTTTATTGTGACCTTGACCTTTAACCCTTACCCTTATTCAAATACTTTGAGATCTTTGGTCATGGAACATTGTGACCAAGTTTGACAAGTTTGTGATTAAAACTATGGGCTGTAGACAAATAAATGAAAAAAATAGTTTTTCGTTGATTGTGAGCTTGACCTTTGACCCTGACCCTTCAAAATTTAATTAGCTCCAGATCTTAGGTAAAGGAACTTTGTTGCCATGTTTGACGAATTTCTGATAAAAACTATTGGCTGTAGGCTGTTCACAACAAATATGCCGACAGACAAATAAATAAATAAATAAACAGAGGCAAAAACATAACCTTTTGCCAACTTCGTTGGCGGAGGTAATGAGATCTTTAGTCATGAAACATTGTGACCAAGTTTGACAAGTTTGTGATGAAAACTATGGGCTGTACACAAATAAATAAAACTAAACGAAAAAACTATTGAATTGTTTTTCGTTTATTGTGACCTTGACCTTCGACCTTGACCCTTCAAAATGTAATCAGCTCTAGATCTTAGGTAAAGGAACATTTTGGCCAAGTTTGATGAATTTCTGATAAAAATATGGGCTGTAGGCTGATCACAACAAATATGCCGACAGACAAATAAATATCTAGATAAAAAAAACCAGGCGAAAACATAGGCCCCCTAACCTCCTGCCAACTTTGTTGGCAGAGGTAATAATAAAGATCATGATAATAGAACAATAATGATGATAATGATGGTCATGATAATGATAATAATAATTTATTCTTCATAAAAATAGGAATATCGATCTATTGTAATTTGCATATTTTAAAATATAGGTAATAGGTATAGTTAAAGGTAAACATAGGCCAAAATTATACTTTGTTTACTCCAGCAAATACATGCTTGTTGTTTGTTTCATTTTATTGATTTATTTGACCAGTATATACACACACAAAAGATATGAACAAAAAAATATTCATATTGAAACACAAGTACCATCAAAATGTCTAACATCACGCACGCATTCCCCTCCGTGCAAAAACCGGATGCACAAGCTGCCGTACATGTATGGCATGCGCGCAAGCACACATGTACATTTTCATATGCACTTCCTAATTATACAACATTCTCGTACCAAACTATGGTATCTAAATTTAGGTAATTCGTTATTATTGATTTAAATTTATTTCTATTCTGTCCCGCGTGTTATGTTATTATAGATTTTCATACCGAAATGAAAAGCTGTTCGTTTAGTAGTGTTAATCAATACAAATATAATTTCTAAAAACACTTAAGTAGACTAGTTCCCGTCATAAAAGAAATGTTTGCACAGATAAATAAATTATCAACTAATTTGAATAATACTGTATACATAAGGAGTTATATGAATGCCTCAGTACCTAGGGCCAGACGCGTTCGCTCCATTGCAGCTCCCCAGCATCAGCCTTGCAGGGCGCCACCATGCATCATCAACATCATCATCATTACGATCATCGTTATCGCTATCATCATTATCGTCACCGTTATCATTATTATCGTCATCATCATCAGCATGGTCTGTATTGTAATCGTCATAAATGTTATCATCATCGTCGTTATCATTATCATCATCATCGTCATCAATCATCGTCGTTATTATCATCATCACCACCATCATTAATACGCATCATTTTATATACAACAATATACATAACATAAAAATTATAATATAGGCTCGATGTCACCTTGGAATTATATAACAATTGTATAATACTGTACATACCCGAAACTAGAGTCTGGTATATGGCTCGGTGAGAATGACTCCATTCATCGTTTGTGTAATTATTAGCTGGGATGAAGTCTCCTAGACCAATCGTCGTTAACGATATAAATATGAAGTAATAACAGTCTAAATACGTCCATGATGGCTCGAGAGAAAAGAACACTAAACTGGGCAGTATAACGAAGAATAACCCAGTTAACGTGGTAAGGATAGAGAGGTGCAGCATGCGGATTGGTAATTCTTTAGCGGATTGTGATGAAGCTTTGAAAGCAAAGTAAATTAAATAAAAATAGTTATATATATAATATATTTATGTTTATAATTATATATATACACTTTCAAACACCTGTCTCTTATACACATCTAGATGTGTATAATAGACAGGCCTATAAATGGTCATGATGTGATGTCGTCATGACCATATTTAGGCATGTCACATGTTTCTGACAAATAAAATATGATAGTCTGGACAGGGCTTAAGTATGTGCAATTGTAACATAAGCTAGCATTCACATTGACCGGTTAATGTGTGAATTGGTGATGCACTACGTGATGTAGTTTTACTATTCAAGACCATGCTAAGATTAGCGATGAGGAAATTTTGTTAGTACAGCATCATCACCTTAGCAACTGCCCCACCGGCCGATGATGGAGCAGCAGGTGTGCTCTCCTCCGGTGGCCTGTCTCTTATACACATCTAGATGTGTATAAGAGACAGATATATATATATATAAAACATCACATATGGCAACGCTAGTCAAAATGCAGAACATAGATTTGTCTACATTTATCGTCCAGTTAATGGAGTCATGATTTCCGTCTGCTCTTGCGAAATAAAGGGATACAATATTAGCAGTAATTCTGCAGTGAACCAACGTGGCGTTAAATTTAAATAAGCACATGGTTCAATTGGAATTGAAAATAATTAGAATACTGTATGCTGTATTATTATTAGAAAACATTAGGCCTAGGCTATATATATTCTATTATATAGAGAATACGAGACTCGTTACTGCGACTAGCCCCTTTATACTATGTGTATATTGATATTTAATCATTAACGCACCATTTGATATGGGCTGTTCCGACTACAAATAAAAAAGATGATACAACAAGGTGTCAGTGATGTGAAAGGAAACAGAATTGAAGCGGGAATACCAGAAAAAAATCGAATACTGAACGCAATTTTCTGTGCCATAGACTATTTAGAGCAAGTCTATCTAGAAAATATGACGTCAAAGTCATTCATCATTCACTCACCGTCTACTGTATTCCCTCGGATTATGAAGTGTCGGTTTAGGGGATGGGGTGTGTTCTTTAGGAGGAGGGGAAAAGCTTGTTAGAGTAACTACAATGGTGTGCCGACATTCAAACATTAGCAATTAGTCTGTTTGATCCTTGGCTTGCACAGATGACTATATAATGTGTGTGTTTTGGTTATCATCTCTGGCAAGGAAAAAATAAAGCCCGTTTGTCCTTTTTCCAAGAAGCATGGACGAGAATGCTTTAGTTCATCTAATCTTTAGTTCCTCCTTAAACCGAAATGTCCACTGATTAATCTCAGATAAGAAAGTATAATACATACTCCAAGTATTGAAATACACGCCATCGTGTTAGGATTCAATATTTCGACATTAATTATGTCATCATCAGGATCATCACCTGAAGATGACATAATTAATGTCGAAATATTGAATCCCAACACGATGGCGTGTATTTCAATACTTGGAGTATGTATTATACTTTCTTAGTTGCTCCTTGCAAACGTAATATACGTAAAATTAATTTGATAGCCATTGCTTATTCCTGTCAATCAAAAGATTAGTCATTAAAAAATAGTCCAGTCCATTTATACTTTTATATGTAAACACCACGATCTATATTTACGTCTGTGCCTCTCCGACAATCCATAGAAAGTGTCATAGGATGTACAGTGTTAAATGTAACGCCATGTGTACTGGTCATTGGGGTGAGAATCGATCGGAATGACGAATTGACGCCTGAGATTCATTATTTACCTAACAGCTTCAATCTTTGGATAAAAGCGCGTTGCACTTTTTGAACTTTCTGTAGACCTATTGAAATTGTACCGTCATCAAACAACCGATGGCTATAGGCCTAATATTATGCCCCGGCAAAATATTTCACCCGGCAAATTTTCGCCCGGCAATTTTCATCCGACAAATTTTCACCTGGAAAATTTTCTCCGGCAAATTTTCCCCCGAAAAATAACACGGTCAGAGAAAATAACCGGTGGCTGGGCAGGTGGGGTGTTGATTTTTGGTTAGCGTTAGCCTAGACCCATCTGTGAATTATCTACATCTAATAGATCTACATACAGTAGCTAGAATAGGATGACTAAACCCTGTAAGCAGCCTACCAGTTTCATCAAAGCTTATATGGATTATACAACAAGAAAAAAAAAACACATTAAACATTAAAAGGAGAGTGAATATCATCACAATTGTCTGGAATATTGTTTGAAGGTTGTACGACAAGTAATAGGCTAATAAACTATAGTATATGTTGTGTAGTTGAAAGTATCTTGATGTTTTTTTCGGATAGACTGCTCTAAACATATTCAGGAACAGGTCATTTTTCTAAAGAACGCTTAGAGAACATAATTATTTGATCAAGACATTCTCAACACACTTTTCAGAACTGCAGAGGTCTATCGTAAACCAATATTACTATTTTGCTTAACGAATGCGGGTTGGCCAACTATGTCATAAAACATTTATCTAGCCGTAAAAAAATCGAAGTAGCAGCCTTTTCCGGCTTTAAAAATATATTGGTTTTCATGATAAGTGCAACATGATTTTTCCGAACCTGTACGAACAAACTGTTCTTCTATTCACAAATATGAACAAGAAACCAGAATACAGTACAAGCTTACATGGACATGAAGAATCTATTATCAATTCAGTCTCATTATTATTTGTATATCGCGTCGATTCATTTCAAGTATTGTAACAGCTGAAGTCTAAAAAGTCCCATCTGCGTAATTGTTGAACATTCGCATAGTATAATTCAAATTGTGTTTACTGACTTGTTTTTATCATTTTAATCCCACTTTGATGTTTATTAATTATATATATATATATATATTTTTTAATTGCCACTGTCTCCCCTAACCCCGTGCACCCTACTTGCCTGTACGTGTGTATATCTCCTTTCCATTCTGACTACACAATTCAATAGTTTTTTATGCATTACGAATACTGTATTCTTATTTAAGGCACAACAATTGTTATACGTTTGGTATTTTATAATGTTAGGGTTTCCTTAAATAGCTACAGCAGCCCCTTCTCCCCCACCCGAGCTTGCCCGGTTACTTGTGTATTGTTAATGACAACTGTACAGTATTTACTGTTAATCGTGTTTATGCGAGTATATGGATATTCTTATAGGCACAACAACTGTTATCACTAATCGCGTTTAATGTTTATTAATTTCAGAGGTTTCTTTAAATAGCTATATATAGTCTCCCACCCACACCAGGTTGCCTGTGACGTGTTTATTTTTCCATATGCTGAATTGAATTCAATCGAAAAACAATTATGTAACAGAAGTGGGGATGGAAAGGTATAGTTTAAATAGCATTTTAAAGTGGGCTTAAAATAATTACAAATTAAAAAATCGTACTACTGTAATTAAAATGAACTATAAACTATGGATTTTGTTGAAGATGTGTCACTTCTGAATGTAGGCCTATAATATGCTTTGCTTTGCATTTATTGACAGGCAACAGTTGCCTGTTAACCTAAATGCAATATCTGTTTACGGTCTAGGCCTAGGCCTTGTAAATTAATTTCGGATACTAGGACGTATTTTTATAAAGTAGTCCTAATTGACAGAATAGCCATCCCATCCCGGAAAGACGATGTTCCTGCCCTGATTTTGTCAGAAAACAGCGTTGCAGTAACGTTATTTAGTCAGTAACGTTATAATACGTAGGCATATTTATAGTTCCACAAAAAAAAGAAGTTTTGATCACCAAACTACAACGTTATAATTACGTAAAATGGGTAGCTGGGGAGTCATGATATCTCTCTAACTCCACGTAAGGCTCATTTAATTTGGACCAATTATAATTTAACAACACGCTCACATTTGTCTATTTCCGCGTGAGGGCTTTAAGTACAAACTCACATTTGAGACGGACATCAGTACAATGCAAGGAGTGGTTTGATAATCTCGACATCCGGTAGAATATCTTTGCGTTCATAACGAGTCAGAAAAACATTTTGATTAAAATATGCCATATGTAATCAGTTAATGAGACGCTTCCACCCCACCCCAGAATTAAGGACATGGACAAAAACGTGTTTAGGCCTATATTTCATTTGGCCTTTGGAGTATCCATATTTAGTAGACCCTGTGCGCCTACATAGATGGTGTATAATATTAATAATTCGTGGCCTTATTGTATATTATCTCTGTTCAATTTGTGTAATACTTGGAGCTTGCAAAATCAGGTCTGTTTATCCTGGTTTCCAGAAAATAGCTACACTGTCGCTACAGCGTTATCACTGCAATCGTCAGATTGCGTGGCTGAGGTTCGATCGACCAATCAGAGTATACAGTAGGGCCTATATGAACTAGGCACCATTGTTTATTCCCATGCTTGGTCTAATAAATCTTATGAATCTCAATATTGAAAAGATAATCATTTACAATTATAGGCCCTATTATTTATTCGTCATATTCTAATTTTACAGGGATGTTGTCAAACCACATCTGTAGCAATACTATAGGCGTATATGCCATTACAAATTAATGAAACCAGCAAGGATAAAGGCCGGTTGTTTACTCAACTCATCGAATATGACTACGCATCCTGAATAAATATTTTAAGAATGATTTTTAAAAAATTTACCCTTACGTACCTATTGTAGTTAAGAGTGTGGTAGTAAAAAACAGCGACGACCAGAAGTCCCAGCTACTTGGAGATGTTTTATTATGGTAACTCCATGATACTCCGAATTCATTGGCGGCTATTATTACTTCTACTAAGTCCTCAATGTCATTAACATCTATACATTCATTCGTTTCCAGGAAATCGGTGATTCGAGTCGAAAGTTCCTGGGTATATTCAGCTTCTATTGGTGACTCCATCCGAGAAAATATTAACGCGCCGAAACACAGATATGATATAAATATGACGACTAAGATGAGACATGAACTACCACCAGTACACCAGTTCCTCATACTCAAATGTGAAATGTTTCAATCAATCAAAAAAGCAATATAAGCCACAGCTGTTGTGAACTTGGTTTGTTAGAATACAGTCATGAAAAATGTTATAAGGCGTTTACGTCAAACATAGGCCTAGACCTATACCGATGTTCGTATCTTCAATCCTGTTCGAATGCGTTACCATAGAAGGCTACTAGGTTCCATAAATACTTCTGGCTATATTAAAAATAATAAGAGTAACACATATATGAATAGGCCTAAATATATGACGAATAATGCGCCAAACATAGACCTTTACCCATGTTAGTCTCCAATCCTGTTCGAATGCGCTACCAGTAGGCTACTAGGTTCCATCAATTATGATACTTCTGGTTCTATCAAAATAATAAGAGTAACATATATATAAATGGGCATGAATATATGATGAATAATGGTACCTGCATTTTTGTGAATTTATATTATTAGGCCTAATGCTATAGTTGATAAACGGTTGCTAAGTTTTTACAGCGATTAGAAGCTTATTATTAATAATAAAAGACGGTTCATCAACTATGATACTTCTGGTTCTATCAAAATAATAAGAGTAACATATACATATATAAATAGGCCTAAATATATGATGAATAATGGTACCTACATTTTTGTGAATTTACCGTATATTATAAAATGTTTATTAATAATAAAAGACGTTTATGTACTATCGCTGATGCACATGCGCATAATGAACTCAAAGCTGAATACGCCAACGTGTTTTTAATATATCGTTTGTCACCATAATCATCATGACTGCCACCACCACCATCGTCATCATTAATATTACCGCCATCATCATCGTCATCATCATCATCATCATCGTCATCATCAATATCATGTCATTTATTTATTCAGACGAGACAAGTGCCGGGCACCAAAACAAACCAAGTTACCATGTAAACTAAACTTAAATACACGCTAAGCTATACTATAAAAGAATGTGACAGGCCAAGTTACATCATAATCACCACCACCAATGTATCATTATCACCACCATCACCATATCATCATTATCCTCATCATATGAACACTCAGTACGCCTTCAATTACTTATTAAAAAATCGCAAGGGTGATTTTAGGTGGAATTCGAACCGTTGCTGGATTGAATGTTACTACTTAAATTAGACCCACCGACACATTAAGTTATGGAGAAAAATGTTAATAGGCCTAGGCCTACTACCCACTATTTTCTATATCAGTATTTATACAGCAAACAATACCCCAACTCTTATCTATTGAAATCGTGTCGTAATGTTTGATTTCAGATTTTTCATCAGGTGTGGCACCGGGTCGGGTTGATGTGGATCTCCCCGTTGGTAGCCTAATGATTAATACAAATACGATTATTTGATCCTCCAGACGACGTGCGAGAAAACATATAGGCCTAACACTAGCGATTCACCATCACTTTTACTTCTGGACCGTAACTCCGATACAGTACAATAAAATATTATGTTACTAAGGTTAAGTTGTATACGATTCTACCACTTATAGTATTCATTGCACAAAAGCTTGAAATGAAGCTTCTAATAATTGCTGTAAAAATTTTGAACTTACCGTTTATCAACTCGCATTAAATGTTAAAAGCATAATGTATACGACTATATATGAAATGATAATGTCAGATATTACACATAGTTAGCATAATAACCTATACCATATTGGAAAATAGACACAAAATCACTTACCTTGTTGTAACCGGATTCCAACTGTTCAACTGGTATTAAATAATCAATTGTTGCTGTCCGATAGTGATTGTTTTTAATCATGCCCTATGAGGGCGCTGTTTATATTTTTCAGTTTGAACAAAAAATATAAATAAGAGATCTAGGCTTATATATTCTATGCAGGGAACAGTGAAATTACACTGTTCCCTGGTCCTATGTTACTTTCTTCGCAAAATTTCTGCAGAGCAACAACTTTCACTATAAAATTACTCAAAAAAAGTATTTCAATATACTTACAAAAATAAAGTATATCAATTTTAAAGTTTTAATCATAAGTTAAAAAATGAAGTAGACTGCCAGCGTAAAAACAATATTTCCCAAAATATAAGCACAATGTACTGACATATTGGTTGGCATCTTAACATGATTAGTGTATTTAATTATGTGAATTATACATATAATAGAAATAATAGTAATAATACTAATGATAATCCGAATGGCCGAGCGGTTAGCAGGGGCGCCGCAAGATAGCCATAATATCGCCCTGGTTCGACGGCACGCTGTGCACTATAAAGAACCCAGTACATCCTTCGAGACGAGTAGGGGATACCACGGTGTACTGGACAAACAGCCCCTGTTGTGGACGACGAGAGTTGCTGGTAGGCCTACCGGGTTCAAACCGGCCGGGTAGCACAAACACCGTAAGGGACGCTTAAGACCTGTTTATACTTCAACGATAACGATAATAATAATAATAATAATAATAATAATAATAATAATAACAATAATAATAACAATAATAACAACAACAACAACAATAATAATAATAATAATAATAATAATAATAAAAAAAAATAATAATAATAATAATAATAATAATAATAATAATAATAATAATAATAATAATAATAATAATAATAATAATAATAATAACAATAATAATGATATTATTATTATTATTATTATTATTATTATTATTATTATTAAGTTAGACTTACTAACTTGTTTTACAAATTATTCAAAATATTGATGATGTTATCTAATTTAGTCTGTATTAATGTTTTGATCGTTAGTAACGTACCGGTACCATGTTTGGTATTTGAATAATTTTATGAAGTACTAAAGCTCATGAAATAAATTGAAATTAAAAGCTTGTCAATTTTTGGGTTTGCTGCCCTCAGCCGGGTGTTGTTTGCGATTTTTTTTGTCTTAAATTATTGTAACATTCAGGCCCACTTATGTTATATTTATCCGAGTCACGTAGCTTGAATTATTTTTAGTGAGCTGCAATCTCGATATGCACTATTAAGCTACAGCGAGTTGTAATGTTGTTTCGATGAAGTCAGGTATTAGAGCAATCAACCGGTATACAAATTATTTTTTGTCTGTTTTCTCCTACAACATTTAATAGAAATACCGTAATGGTGTCCGGCGGGAGATAGGTCAGCTTCAAATATTTATTTATTTATTTATTGACACTTCGCCTTTAGAACGGTGGCACACACAACTCGTGTGGTGCGGTCGGATAAAAATAACAACTAGAATACACTAACAAACTAAAACAACAACAAAATCAAATAAAGAAAAACTGTATAATTTCTGTCTCTTATACACATCTAGATGAGTATAAGAGACAGAGTATACATATATACTCTCGTAAAACATACACTTTCTATTTAAGCTTAACTTCTTTTCAGATGTCATCCGAGAGCGTCTGGACGTCTACTAATTCCAAAATCAAATCTCAAATGGAAGCGGACGCTCCCTCTAAAAATCCATGATCAAAGGGGACAGAGAATACGTACCCAAATATATTTAAGAGGGTGGGGGGGGGTTTGTCCCCTCACTTTTTGTCCGCAATGTAATAATTTCATAAGTCAAGAAGATGCCTGAAAATTGTTGTAATGAACTGCATTGAAGACTTGTACAGCAGGTATTCTATCTCTGCCCACAAACATCTGAATTACTACTACTAATACTAATGATGATAATAATAATAATAATAATATCATTATAATAATCTATAATAATAATATCTGTCTCTTATACACATCTAGATGTGTATAAGAGACAGCCTTTTTGCCGTTTTGGTCTATGCCGTTTTTGTACTTGTCATTGCCGTTTTGGTCTATGCCGTTTTGGTACTTGTCATTGACGTTTTTGTCTGTTGCCGTTTTGGTACTTGTCATTGCCGTTTTGGTTTATTGCCGTTTTGACAAAGGTAAAATCTGGCCTGAGCAAGACAAATCTTTGCTTATGACGCAATATCCCATCATGCACCTCACCGGCTCACAAGTAAATTTCCAGACGATACTGTAGCTAATTGTCTACTGACCCCGCAGGGGCAGTAAAAACAAAAAACCAACCGGTAGAACTAAATCTGAACGAAGGCGGTGCTGTTGCATTTTAGGAAAATCCCTGTTTAACATGACGTCATCATGAAAGATGGCTGCCATGGATTGGCTTATATTGGAAGACGGCAGCTTGTCGATTGGGGAGAAAACTAGAGGAATTTCTTATCACCCAAAATTAAATACTCTTTTGGTAGTAACCGAAGATTCAAGTCTTCAAGTTTTGGACGTTAATACCGGTGTCATTCTTCAAAAGTCAACACTATGTGGTAAACTATTTAGGCCTACCTATCAATGTTCTCTCTCAATCTGTAACCGAACCGAACGTATTGGCATTGCATTGAAATGTGAACGAAATCCAGTCCACTCGACCACCACGCCTGTATTTTTTCTACTTGGTTACTGGAAGCTTTAGCATTGTATTATTTAGGAGAATTACGTACTTGTGATATGCATTTAAATATTGCGATTAGTAGGGGTGTTTTTTTTTGTGTATTTTACTTCCACAAATGCTTAGGTTTTTTGATGGAAAAGTAAGATTGTTATGTAATGTAGCCCACGTCGCACGTAAGCTACTGTAGGCTAGGCCTAGCCAAAAGATACTAGAAACACAAGATAGAGTTCTCCCCAGAAAAAAACTGTTCCACCGAAATGCATAGTGGGAATACAAACAATGGGGCGCCGCGTACAGCTGGATTCTAAAAAACTTCTGCCACCGGCCTAGTCTCCTTTTGCGGAGGTTGAAATCGTTGCCATTATCCATAAGATACAAACAATTAGGCATAAATAAATCAAAACAATAAAATGACAGACATAAAAGCACAGAATCGTATGACCAGACTCTGATTAGTGATAAAGTTTTTCCTCCAGTAGTGGAAAAAGAAGGGCGCTGTGTGCGTTTGGATATACTTAGCAACAGAAGGGCACCCCTGTACGTTTGGCCTAAGTATAGAAAACTTGCATTATAAAAAGAGATTGACGCTGCCTACGTCGGGCCCAATTTCCGCCTCATTTTTGCTATGCGAGTGTGCTCTATTTCTAGTATCATTGGCCTAGCCTATATTCACTGAATAAATGTAGACCTACCATAGTTAGTGGAAGTACCAGTGGTGTAACTGTAGGTTAGTTCTAGCATTATTTATAATATGGGATTCAGAATTTATGGATAAAATATGTTTTAAGCATTTTGCACATTATCAAATTTTGCATGAATTTGCTTGCATAATTTAAAATTGTTCAAGAAAACCCTTGCACATTATTGTGCAATGTTCTTATCCCCCAATTGATAGTTTAATTATATTTCGCAAAATAATTAAAAATACGGTACGGCATAAGGGATACAGTGTGAGTATAGCAGGGCCTTGGGCCTTGGTCAACATACTGTAAGCTTAAGTCATGATATATCAAGAATGTGGCTTGTTAATGTTATACTCCTAATAAAATGATTGTGCATTTAACAGAAATGCATTTGAAACTCAGACAAAGTATAAAGTTGAAATTCAACCCAAATAAAAGTAAACCTACCTACAGTAGGCCTATACATAAATGCTTATAAATAAAATAAAAAAATATAAATACTATATATTATTAAGACATTTTAAAAACACCAATACATTCAAGAGTGTTAACCTAGGAAAGTACCCATAGGTCTACAGTAAATAGTTCCCAATTTAGACTAAGCCACTCGCTACTTCAGCTGTCTGAAAAATTCCCCCCTTCACCAGAATTTATAATTGTACCAGATTAATTGAAACTGCCTGTCAGTTTCAATACCAACAGAAACAGATCAAATGTTGATACTATACCTGGAAACAGGAACTGTTATATTTAAAATAATGAATGCTCTAAATTATCCTAAAAAATGTTGATTGTGAAAGCACATTGAGGCATTAATGCATAAACTTACTATTATTGAACAATGACCCATGTACTCTTTGTTAGTGTGATGTGATAAAACGTTTAAAAAAATCAATGATGGAAGAGAAAGAGAATGAATAGAATGGTGTTAAAAAGGAATGAATGAAAAAATAATAATTAGTAAAAAAGTAATGAACATAAAGAAGAATATGTGAATAATGAAAAAAAAATCTTACCATATTTATTTGTGTAAACACACAGGAGCCTTTTATGTTTGGGAAGGTTTTTGAGGAGGCGTTAATATTTGAGGGCGGAGTTTATTTGTTTTGGCATTTATGCAAAGCCGATCATATTCAAATAAGTACTGTAACAGTAATATGATGACGTGTAATTTGAAACAATTCAAAGGCCTTGCGAGTCGTGTATATATTTTTTTTTTATCAGCAAAATCCTCCAATTGAACATAAAGGCAAGAACCTAACAACATCTACATCTTCATTTTCTTATCCTTTTCCTTAATCATACAGCTGATCCAGGATCCTCCGTGGAATGCAAGTATCTAAATGAGGTAGAACAAGTACTCTTCAAGTCGGACACTGTCATCGGCTTGCGAAAAGACATTAGCGGTGTTCTCCTACTCGATTCGGCGCTACAGGCTCCAGTTAGTAAAACCGATGACTTTGTTGTAGTCGAACTTACCCATTCTGAGGTGAGAGATATATTAGCTCTTTACAAATTTTAATATCAACATTGGTTTTCGAGACAAATAGTTTTTATTATCGTTTTTCTTGTTTTGAAATTCACTCATATAAAGTGTTGATGTTCACTTCTGTTTTCAATAGAATTTGCTTAGAACATTAATTTAATATTATTATGTATGTTCTTGATTTACTGTGTAATGCATTTGTTTATCAATGCCTATGTCAAATGGAATCCTGAGTTATTGGTCGTTATGTAATGTACAGTATGTAACCTTACATAAGGTTTAATAGATATTCTGCTTACTATTAAATTGAATGATCTGCGTGTGGGTGTATAACATAAGATATGAACCTTCTCCAACTCCTGTGTCTTTTCATTTGTCTTCCTCTAATAATAATAATAATAATAAACTTTATTTATACACGTGTGGCTCAGACTCAGCCAATGGCTGTTCTTCCCTAAAATACAATTTAAAACAATATTAAAAACAGCAGACTAAATGTTAAACAAAACAATATTAAAATTCTACAGCATAAAAAAACATAGTACAGTATGAATTAGAGGAAGGCAAAATACACAGGAATCATATCTGCGATAACTAAAATTTACAATACAGAATTAATTAGACAAGTTAATCACTGGCGGCAAGAGAATTAACATTGTTTAAATTACTATTTTAAATGTGTACAGGTTAAATGCAGTTTGTTGACTCTCTGAAAGAGTATTCCACAAAACAGCTCCTCTATACAAACTACTCTTTTTAAATTAAGTTTTAGGTAACAGAATTTTTACATTAAGAGTATTTCGGCGAAAAACAAATAAAAACAAATTGTGAAGATACACTGGGAATATATATAATTACTTATGATAACACATTTCCTCTCAATACACAACAATCCATCTCTTCAATTTTTGTTCCTTCATATAATAAGCTTCTATTTATTTATGATGATTATTTATCTTATATTAGCCTACGTATGTTATTTGACTACACACAAATAGAGACATTGTGCTCCTGCCTTCCACCGTGCAAAAATTCTTATACAACAATATTCAAACAGATATTGTTCTTTAGAGTTTTGTAGTCAAGTTTTTAAAACTTGCATTATGTGTCAAGGCAAATCAGTCGCTTGTTAAAGATCATCAATGGAGAAAATATGGCCGAAAGCTTTATACGTTGAAAATTCAAAGAAAATCGAAATCTATTTTAACACATAAAATTAACAATAAGTCATCTAAGAACCATGCTACCTTGAAATTTTTCCAATTTTCAATGGTAAAAAAACGTTTTTATATTTTTTATGGAGGGTATCTCACTGTAAAATGTCAAAAACTTGGTTCTTTTTTACCCGTTTAGTTACACATTTCCGATGCTATGCACGTCTGCATTTTGAAAGTGAACCGCTCCATATTTCAGTGTATGTAAAGGGAATTTTATAAGCTTTTTTATGTGTCATTGGTCAGTTGTCATGATACATCTTTAATCTAACCAATTACAAACAATGTTTTTTAATAGTGTTCATTGATGATGACGCTTAAATAATTTCTCAAAAACGTGTTTAGGGTTTTACACAAACTAATACCCATTTCACACTGATGCTATTTTGCAAATATTAACAACTTGTAACAAGTTGTAACCAGGTTTGGATGAGTATGAAAGCAAATTCTTGTAAAACTTTCAGAGATTTCACAGGGGTCCCCTGAGTTATCTCGGAACAAAAACAGACCATCGCGAGGCCTTTTTTTTCCCCGAAATCTTCTGAGTTGTTGTTGCGCATGCGTCATGTCCATATTTTGACCTTTTCGCGGGCTGTGTTTTTGTTTTTTTTTTCAGTTCGAACGAATGGCGGCAGCGATGGTAGTAATCAACATTACTACCATTTGTTAATAGGCCTAGACCTAAAATCAAAAGAAATCTCGCTAAATTTCACATTTAGTCTGATGTAGAAACAATCACGAGGCTTCGTAAAATACGCCGACAGTGAATCATTATGATGCTTATCGCACTGATTGCCTCTAACAACAATGGTGAGCTACCGGCCCGACTGCGCTATCCTAGGCCTATCTTTCTCGCCAGCTCGACTACAGCCAGTGAGCTAGGAGTTGAATTCGTTTTACTCTCTGAAAGCTAAGGACCATGGAATAATTATAATCTTGTTAATTCGGTACCAGGCCTAGTTTAGTAGTTGATATGTAATTCGGACAACCTACAACTAGCCTAGGAGGCCTACTACTAGTACCTCTATTTTTTATTTATTTATTCATTCTTCCGAGTTTTCCCGAGATTTCTCATGGTTTGAAAGTGCATGTGTGAAACGAACCAAAAATCTCGGAATATCAAACTTGTTACAACTTGTTAATAATTGTTAAAAGTTGTAATATTTTCTGCTAGTGTGAAATGGGTATTAGGTGTCTTTAAACTTTATAGCGAAAAGTCGGATTGTAAAAATGTTTTAACCATTGTAAAGACAATGCTTACTAAATAATAATAATAATAATGTATTATCTCAAAATTTTTGACAAGCGACTGATTTGCCTTGACCGCGGCACATATAATAAGCATTTGTAGGAAATTGATGAAAGGGTATACTGTAAGATATAATACATGCTCAAGCTGGACACTTGAGTAAACACACCAACTTTATTCTTTTTATGTTACAGTGATCTATCATTTACATGAAATTGCACACAATGTGTTAACCATGTCAGAGAATATGGCAAATAGATAAAGTTGATAGAATAATCTATTTTACATTGATGAGTCGGAGGATATGTTACAATGTCTTGTAATAATATATTGTACTGTATGTGATAAAGTCTGGAAAAACATCTATTAAAGCATTGAATTTTATTTCCATCTGGGTTTTTTATATTTTTTTTGCTAATTAAGTCATTGACCGCGAAACACAGTGGCGTAGGTATGGGCAGTGCACCCAGTTTAAAACACTGGGGCCCGGAGCTATAATTGGTGGGGTGGGGGCCGTTCAGTAGGCCTACAGATCTAAACTTTTTATAGGTCTCCCTCTAATTTAGACCCCTCCAATTAAAGACCACCTTCAATGCTCAATAGGTCCTAATATAATCAAAATAAAATAATACATATGACCATATTTATATTTCTTTGAATATTTTTTTGACTATACATATTTTTGCGCTTTACAGTGCTGTAAATAGTGTTTAAAAACACCTCAGAATGTATGAGCATTATTAGAGTTTTGCCTGAGTAGACACCTATCAAGGCTCTGTCTCTGGTTCCGATCAGGTGCCTTTTAGGACACTCAAAAGTATCCTGACTAAATGTGATTTAGTGATTTGGTGATGGTCAAAAAGATAGTCAGAAAGAAACTCTGTATCCGTGCTCCAGGCTTTACAAAATGGCCCAGCAGTTATCTTGCACTGGAGCCCGTCATCACCTTTTTACGCTGGCGTGAACATTTATGTGTCTACCAAAAAAGATAGTAAACTATTAGTATTAATAGTACTATACTAATATATTGAAATTTGTCTGCTATATGCATTGATATGCACTCCCTGTGAGATTACAACATTACTACGATATTCATCATTAAGAGAATGCTATTTATCTTGCGTCATTATGCTTCATACCAATATTTTCCGTTTGACACAATTCTATGTTGTACATTGAATTGCCTCATAAGTTTTTGCTTCCTTCCTGATGTTGTTAGTCCATGTAGTGCTTAGGTCCTGTTTTGTGGTAGTTTTCAATCCTGTTAAATTCGTTTTGAGCACTTCAAGTTTTTTTTTGTGTGTAATCTGTAGAGGTGCCCATTTACCATCAATCTGTTTTCTTTTAATTACTCTACTCCCTTCTGATGTATGTTCCTTTTAATATATTTGTTGTTCTGTTTCTTTTCAGACAATTTAATACAACACATTACAAAACATAATGCCATTGCTCACCATTATCGTCATTATCAATATGATGACCATCAATATCATCGTCATCATATTTGATCATCATCATCATCATCATCATTATCATCATCATCATCATCATCATCATCATCATCATCATATTTGATCATCATCATCATCGTTATCATCATCATCATAATCAATAATATAATGTATCTTCATCTTCAATATCATCATAATCATAATATCACCATCACCAGTCATTAAAGTCATTATCCTCACCATCATTGGATTGGATTGGATTAGAGTAGCTTAGCTCAGTTGGCTAATCTGGTGGTATTCACTGTGTGTGCGCTGAACCGTGGAGATCTTTAGGTCCCCGGTTCAATTCCCATCACTGCCTCTCCTTGTGTTTCAGCTAGAGGGCTGAAATACAAGTTGCATAGCGCACCGTCTTTCGGATGAGACGTTTAAGCCGTTGGTCCTGTGTGCATTTATGGCCCATGTGCACGTTAAAAAACACAATACACTCAATACAATACTGCCCAATCACCACCAGAAGGACCCCACTGGAAATAAGTCTTCTTCTAGACTTTCGTGGGCTGTCCTTGGTGTTTACACTGAATAAATCCAACCATCATAGTCATCGTTCACCCTCATAATCATCATATCATCATCACCATCATAAACATCGTTCACAAAGCTGTTGGTGTACATAAGAATGCTCACAATTTGTATTCTCTTCAATTTCCTTATTCTCATGTACATGTATAAATAATCAATTAAAACAAATACCCACGCAGATTACCAACTAAAGTTCCTGTAATCTGCGCAATACAGCACTTCGCTCTTGTGAGTTCAACAGTGGCTTTGGTACAAATACTCTATTATCAGTGATATTTATAGAACTACTATCGTTTACATTAAGTGACATTTGAAGTTGATCCACACTTAAGTATCACCAGTTGATGTCTAGAATTGAAATTATAGATGAATTCCCAAGAGATGTAAAGTGAATTGTTTATGTAACCTTCTGTATTAGACAGCTTACTTCCCTGTTGTACAGTGTAATAATAAACAGTTTACAGCCCCATCAATAGATGGCTTACTGCCCTGTCAGTAGACAGCTTGCTGCCCTGTCAATAGACAGCTTACTGCCTTGTCAATAGACAGCTTACTGCTCTGTCAAAAGACAGCTTACTGTCCCGTTAACACTGTCCCGTTAACGCTTGACTGCCAAATATGGATATCTCTGTGTTTCAGGTTTTTTAACGTAATCCAGTGATGTGGTAGATGTGGTAATTACCGACATGTACTAACAATTTGAACACTATATTCAGTCTGGACCATAAGTATTTCATTATTTGTTTGTTTACATTAGCGTAGAGCGGTATTGATTTACTTTCACGAAATTGCGATTATCCCAAACTTTGTTGTGCGAAATTGCATAAATCTCCAGAAGTGAGTCATTTTCATTTTACTGTTAGGGCCACAGATTGTGATTAGTGTGTTTGCTACCATTGTAAAGCTAAAATTTTCGTAATTCTTGTAGTATTCACTAGATGTCAATCTGATCACATACGCACTCCCAACAAACTTCAGAAAAGTGTTAAAATTTGCTAAAAAGTCTGGCGGTGGCTCATACTATTAATAGTTTAAACCCCTGGTGGTCAGAGTGTTGGATAGCTACAATATGTTATTTACTGTTGAAGTCCATATTTGTAAACAGATTACTTCTCAATCCACAAGGTCTATAAAACTGTTACTTATAATTAGATATTGTTAATTAACTTGTTTCCCACAACATGCTCCACAAAATAATCAGTATTTTTTTTCTCTGACCCCTTAAAAAAGGGCAATTGTAAGATTGGGGGCTACTTTTTAATAGCAGTATTTCCTCAAGTACTCCATTCCTCAAAGTTTCCATTAATGTATGGATAGTCAAGTGGCTTTGATATTAAATGCAGCATAACATTTGAACAAACAAAATTAAACCTATCTCAGATTGATTGAGTCTAACTGAATTTGTTCTTGCTTCCTTTTGTAATCTTAAGCTTTTTATATTCAGAAGTAGTAACTCATGAAAAAAATTTACATACATTTGTTTTCATGTGATTCTTGATGTTTGCAACAATTTTGTATTCTCCACAAAATTAATACTACCTGACCATATTGTTGGTTTTTTGGGTTGCGAGAAATGTTTTTTTTCTTGTTTTCAACTTTCGTTTAGACAAAATTAATATAAAATGCATTTTCTTTTATTCACAGGCTATTCAGCTGTTAGCCTGCTTGAAGAAAGTGGCTTTACCCAGCCAGGAATACTTAGAAGAGGTTAGAGATGGCCTACAGATGGGTATTATGGGATGCAAAGGGGCTGCGGATCATAGCAACCACAAAGTGGCCAAGGTATATTTTGTTTCTTATTGTCTTAATCTTGTAAGTTTTCTTTCTACAGATCAATTCTTTTAAGCATTTGCCAATGGGAGATGAATTTCTTTACTTGTATTTACGAGGAAATTACTGTAAAGCCGTATTTATTTGAATAGACGCCCCTGGCATTTATTAAAGTATATACTCTATCTATCTATCTATCTATCTATCTATCTATCTATCTATCTATCTATCTATCTATCTATCTATCTATCTATCTATCTATCGATCTATCGATCTATCGATCTATTTATCTATATCTCTATCTATATCTATATATCTATCTATCTATCTATCTATCTATCTATCTATCTATCTATCTATCTATCTATCTATCTATCTATGACACAAAGTGTTACAGTACATAGTATAATAATAATAATAATAATATATTATAACAGAGTCGATATTATAGTGTATAAATATGCGCCCTCACTATTAACCAGAGCACAACAATTCGTAGTAATACTGTAAATAAATGTGTTTTTAGTGGCTAAAAATATACTGGCTTATAACATTTAGATGCTCATATTGAAGGATGAACAATATTCTATGTATTGTATTTAATGTTGTTTATTGTTGAGAAGGATTTTGGTAGGGGATGGCATTTATTCGAGGGAGGAATGTATTTGAGGGCCTAGATTATTCGAGGGCGGCATCGCTGGTTTTTGTTTTGTTTTTTGTTTATTTTTTTGTGAAATGGATATGTGTGTACTTAAATAAACTCAACTTAACTGTAAATGTGGAATTACCACACTTATTTACTGTCTAAATTGTGTTATTGCATGATCATAAAGACTTATTAATCCCAACCATGTTTGAAAAAAATGTGATTATACTGGAGTAGAACATATAAGATGTGTTAAGAATGATATTGCTTCCATTAGATTTGTTTACAGTCATTTAGGCAGGGCGTTTATTCAAGGAAAAAATAAAATGCCTCAAGGCATATATTTGAGGGAACTGTTTATTCCAAATGAAGCTCTAGAGGGGGAATTTATTTAAAGTGGGGTGGTTATGAATTTTGAAAATATATAATTTGATATAATTTCCTTGTGGTCACATGATTAAAAATAATAAAAACTAATTAAGAGTTTGAACTTGACTCATTTCTACAATTTTAGTTTCAGTTTTGTTTTCATTAATCTTATTTCAGTGGGCAACCGTCAAGATGAACCTTCCCCATGTTGCGATCCGTTCGGTCTGCAGTAGCCTAGTCTCTGCTCCGCAGAACACTAATAAACCCGGACTGTCAATAGCATCAGCTATACTTGATCGCCTCGATTCCCTTTACTCCGCAAATCAGCCAGAGTTTACCCCTGTAGGATCAACGCGCACGGTTGACCGCTCACTCATGTACACAGAGGCAGCACGGAGGAATACGTTCTCAGCATGGCCTCACATGGATTATAAGTGAGTTTGTTGGTTATGTTGTCTATTTAATTATTTATTCAATTTAAAATTATGGAAAGTATATTCCTCACCAATTAAAATTTGCATAAAATATACCATTACTATTTAATCCAATTAAATTCAGTCTTTTTTTTCAAACACTAAAGGATATAGTTTGAAATTCTGGTTGTTTTTTCACATTTTAAAATACTCATATTTATAAAATTACAATCTATAAAGCAAATAAATTTTGCTATAAGAGTTAAAACATCAAAGGTTAAATGTTCAAATAATTTAATTCTGCTGCTGATATATTATTTTAGATGAATTTTCTTTAGTTTTACCATTACAGTTTCGGCCAAAGGTTAAAGTTGAAATTTTAAATATTAAAATCCTTAAATTTGACCTTTTATTTCCTCTCGTTTCTTTATGATTTTATTTGTTTTTTCATAGATGGGCTCTGCCTGATGCCATGGCCCAAGCAGGTTTCTACCATGGAGTGAGTATTTGTACACATTAAGAAAACATGATTTCATTATTTATAAAGTCAAATGAGTTGCCTACGGCCACAAATCATTTTTATTTTCAGCTGCCAGTCTTTAGAACTCCCTCCCTAAACATATTGCCGACCCACCTTCAGTTGCTATTTTAAGAACAAACTCAAAACACATCTAAACGTGCATAGTGCCTTTGTTTTTACCTCGGTTTATAGTAATCAATTTTTCTAATCAAGTCATATTTTGTAAAAATTGCATACAATTTTTTTCCCTACGGAATGTGTTAAGTTCTTCTTTGAGATAGCTCTCCCTGATGAGAATCTGCCTCTGCAACCGGCACCACCACTTAATTTCAAACCTCGCAAATTTAGAGTTTGTTGGGAACTGACGGTTTTAAGTATTTAGCGTGATAAGTGGTAAAGTGACGCATTCAAAACAGTCCTCGAATAGTTGCATAGGCCTAACAATAAGTATCCCAATGAGAAATCTCAAATTTATTATTTTCAATTTTGTAAATATTTTATCTACAAAACTCATTGCACTAATCATTTTCCAGCTTAAATTATTATAATCCAATGCACAGTTGAAAAGTTATGGCCATTTAAATGTGGTGAAAAAGGGGGTCCGAATGAGAAAAAGGGTCCTTTTTCTACATCGAATTTGGAGCATTTTTGGAGGGCCATAACTTTTAAAATTATAACAGAAAATTTCTAATTTTTAGAAAACACCAAGACAGTTTTATGTGTATTTTTTTCTGGGTCATTCTTTAATGTCTTTTTTGATAATGGCCCTTAAGTCTGATCAGTTGGTATTTTGTGCCGATTTTTTGTGCATCTCAAAAATGAAAAAATCGAACTATTTCAATAGCCTTCATCTCAAATAAATTATGTGCTCTGATTCTAATATTATTATTTAAAACATCAAATGATATTTTAACTAAAATTTGACCATAGTTTAACTGGTTTAACAATTAATGAAGATGGATCAAAAAATTCAATATGTAGCGTAGGCCGTGCCAGGGCTCCGTATTCCATGCGAGTGTATTTTGCGATCGCACTGGGACCTTGGACCGGGACGATAGAAGACTAAAGAAAGATGCATTAATATTTTATCAGTTTTCCAAAATAAAGATCCTAATCTTGAGGGTACATTGACTTTACAGATCATAAATTTACTAAAAATACCATGTTAGGGCAGCATTACATTCTGGCCTTAATATAGGCCTACTGTATAATCGAGTCTGCCTGTCTATTTTGCTGGTGCACGGCTCTATATACTGTGACTCTCAGGTCCTCTGAATAGAGAGACGAAACTGTATGTAATACATTTTGTTTTCATATAAAAACAAAACTGCTTTATTAAAATATTAGTTATTAATTAACTGTTTGAACTGAGGTACCTTCTTTCGATACGAACACGACAGCTCTGTCGCTCAAGTGTCATATGGAGCATGTGTGTGAGGCAGTGGGCGTTTAGAACCGTCCATTTTTCCAACTGGGGTATAAATATTATTTTATCACGATTATATAGTAAAGTTCAGTGGATTATAGGCATGTTGTAGGAGAATGCTTCACCGGTTAGAGGCAATGGTTTAGCCTTTCTTGTCCCCTTTGGGGTTCCCACTTAATATTGACATACAAAAACATAGTTTGCATGAAATTCATGCAAATTCAATTAACAAACATTGTTTTATCAAATGTAAATATGATTTAGCTTTTGTTTAATGCAAAATCCGGTAGATTTTGATAATTTTGTCACTAAAATTTATTTTTGTGGCGGAAGAACACATCAGTACCAAGTGAATTATACATCAAAATAAAGCTCTTTCATAGCCTAATAACATACAAAAGAAATTACTCCGCTATCTTTATTGGATTTTGTGCGATCATGTTTTTAAACTTGGTAGGGTATTTCCCAAAGAATTTTTTACGCGTGCAAGTTGGCTCGCCAGCTTTTACAATTCATTTTAAAATCATGTTTTCTCTGCAAATATTTTATCAATATCATTAAAAAATATATGATAGTAAAGAATAAACCATGTTCTTTCAAGATATATAATTTTTATTGACATACATTCAAGATTGACATTATTTTTTTAACATCAAACTCGTGTCATTTTATCAAACTTCGATAACATTGCCAGACTGTGGTAACACAAAATGGTTTCATTGGGATACCTACTAACATTAAGCAGGCTTATACAGATTTGAAATAAAGAAATTAAGTATATTTTCATGCTAAAAATATTTTTCAGGGTCGCTGAATGTTTAATGTTGTCGGTGACTGGTAATAGAACTTGTCATGTCTTTCTTTCTTTGTGCAAGTTTAACTGTGGGCGAAGTATCGTTTCCTGAATTGGTTTTTTCCCCCCTATCAGATTGAAACTAGATATTTGTTTTCGATCATATTGACCTTGCATCTAACTAGATATTGTTACCTGCTCAGACGTCATCCATACAACAACTCCCTGGAAATAGTAATCCTGTAGGAGTATTTTCAAAACCAAACAATTGTGACAAAAACTCAGTATTCTCTTTTTTTTTATTAGCTATACAAAGTTCGTTCAACTTAATAGTTTGACAGCCAATCTGTATTTTCTGTGTGATTTCACATCCTATATCCACCAAATACCAGGGTTTTAAAGCCTAAAAACATTTCGCCTGTAAAATCTCTAGTCTACTCATAATAATAACAAGTCTCTAATAAAATTTTTATATTTAATTTGCTATGTCATATTTAGCTGAAGAACTAATGCTACCAATCTTTTGGTGTTTGTCGATTAGTTAGTAACAGAATTTTAGATTTAGGTGAGGGTCATCCCTACTTCACATTGGCCCAGTGTTGTGTTTTGGCCTTCACTGTATTGAAAAAATAATATTCATTGAATAGTTATTAATTTTAGTTTCTTTAAATATTTTTTAAAATTTAATTTAATTTTTTCTCGTGGGCTAGAATAATTTGCTTGAATAATAGGACCGCTTATTACGAACCAGGGGTATATAACTTATAGTATTATATTATTTGTTTTCCTTGTAGCCCACTACTCCGGGAGATGATAGAGCATTATGCTTTACCTGTAGTGTGTGCTTAGTATGCTGGGAACCAACAGATGAACCTTGGTAAGTGATGATGATGTCATCATTTTGGTAATGATGATGTCAACATTTTGGTGGTAGTGATGATGTCAACATGTTGGTGTTGTTGGTAATGATATGTTGCTGCTGATATCATGGTATAATGATGTCAATATTTTTTTGTTATTAAACATTTGAATAATCATAAACTTGTTTATTCCTCATGTCATGTGGACAGACACACCAGTTATCTTCCCTATGAGAATTTAATTGTGTTGTATAGCCATTCATTCATGTACTTTATTTAGCTATACAATATATAGTAACATGTATAGTAAAATAGCCTATGTTGGACCCCATGGAAAATATCAATGAACACTTAACTCTAATGAAATAACACGTCAAATTGATAATAATATCAGTATTGATGTCATTGTAGTTGTGCTGTAGATGATATTGTAGTAATTAACTTAACCTATTCATTTTTGCCTTTTCCCCATGAATTCCCATAGGTCTGAGCATGAGAGGCACTCACCAAACTGCCCCCATGTCAGAGGAGAACACACCCAAAATGTCCCCCTAGCAGCCACCCTAGCTGCTGGACCTGCACAAGCACACGGTAGCAAATCAAACCATGTGAGTATTATCATTCTAAATTGAATTGTATTTTATTTTTGAGATTGTGGTAAAATCTCATGGCAATTGATGGAGTGATTAATTATTATTGCTATAATTATATTGCTAACATAAGTGATGATTGTGATGGTGATGCTCTGTCTTATCTTGATAATAGATTAGTTTTTTTAGAATTAAACTGACAATGATTATGGTGTTTTTACTTTACAGATATGTTGCCTAAGTTCTATTACAAGCAAACGTTATATCGCTACGGCAACTGAGAATGGCAGTATTAGTTTATGGGATGTTAGTAGGCAACTTGCAGTGTGCAGTCAATTTACAGTTAAGTTAGCTAGTGAGGAACGCAAGGCCAAGTTAAGAAAAACCTCAAAAACTGCTGTGAAGGAAGCATGGGCAGAAGAGGGTACAAGGTATGATTATAAATGTTGCTCAATATCTTAAGGATACCAATTATCTTTACATGACTTGAAGATGAAGTGTTTGTTGATTGGTACAATGCTTGATTTTAAGTCCCAATGTTCAGAGTTCAATGCCGGTCAATGTTAAGCCTGGTTTTCATAAAAATCACATCACGTTATTGCCGACTCTTTTTCCAATGCTGATTGGTCAGTTGAATCAGGGAGCGTTCCGAATTGCGACGGGGGACAGCTACGCAGTACAACAACGACAGTGAAAACACTGATGCGGCTGGGTATCGATTCAATGAAAATCTCTCCCTAAAAGTGGTAATTTAAAACATAAAATTATCTCCTAACTGATTGAATACTTGATTGATCTTGTAACTGTGTAAATTTTAATAACTTTGAATTCATGTTTGTATATTTGATGCTATAATCTATTTTATGTTGGTATATTTGTTTGTCTTTCTATGATCTGCTAAGTTTTTTTTTATCTGTTACTAGGTGGTGAATGCTAAAAATCAGATTAAAACACAAATTTATATTTAAATAAATTTCATTTTTCAGTGCTAAACAAAAAGTACCAGAAGATTTAGAAGAACCTAATCAGAAAGATAATATTGAAAAAGGTAAATAATGGTATGAATATATCACTTCTCATGAGAAAATTTGGTAGGCACTGGGGCCTAAAAAATACTGTGAGTTTAAGATTAAACCTTGGCTAATTGTGTGTCTCATGTTCTTTGGCCTCCTCCCCATATCTGTGTTTGTTTTTTTTCACCCAGAAGCATAAAATGGATACCTGGTTAAGCTGCATTTACACTAGATACGATAACGGCACGACAATGACAAGATCATCGCTGTCATATATTATTCAACACTAAACTCATTTTTATCGTATTGTCATGTCGTTAGATGTGTTAAAGTCAGGCTCCGGAGGAAAAAAATTTTTTGATATGTTGTAGAACTGATTTTTCTAAGACAGAAAAAAGTTGTTTGACGAAAAACTAGGGAACGGTGAATGAAATACAGATTTTTGAATATTTAAAAACTGGGGGAAAAAGGGGCGTAACCGCCCATTTTTACACCTTTTTCCCCCAGTTTTTAAATATTCAAAAATCTGTATCTCATTCACCGTTGCTCAGTTTTTCATCAAACAACTTTTTTCTGTCTCAAAAAAATCAGTTCTACAACATATCAAAAAATTTTTTTCCTCCGGAGCCTGACTTTAAGGTTTTAATAAGTAATTTAATTGTCAACGTGTTGTTTTGCTGGTTGAATTTATAGATTGTACATTTTTAAAAGAGTAGGATTTTTGAAGTATTTGATTTGAAATGATTTTCAGATGAAGGGTACGGAACAATTAGTGATCTACCAGGATCATCCTGGACCAGCACACAAGATTCAACCTATGATATATGTAAGTGATTCTTCTTTCACTGTTAACCTCTGTGGATAATTTCATTCTTCTTGACTTGGGTTGGCGCTTTTACCACAATCTACACAGATTTGATATTGTTATTCAATGGCTTTGTTCTCACACGGCAGCTAACGGTTAGCAGGATCCAGGTTCTGCTAACCGTTAGCTGCCGTGCGTCCATGCGAGAAAATCCCGATCCAGATACCAACAATATGATGATTGAATCACTGGCCAATAAGAAACTGGAAATTGTAAACGCGTATATGTTATTGGTTGATGATAGAAACGCCCTCAACTTGCTAACCAATAGCGCTTGCTAACCGTTAGCGGTATCCGGATACCGCTAACGGTTAGCGCTAACCGATCGGGCGTTCTCACACAGGTGCTAACGGTTTGTGCTAACGGTTAGCTCCCGATCCGGATACTAGGGCTCTCGTTAGAACCAGGCTAATGAGTCAATTTAATCTCCAATAATTTTCACCTACCAGAGCTATGCTACTGTATCTAACGAATGAGTTCCCATATCGGTAAAATGTTCAGTAGTCCCTAATGTTAAATGACATACATTGGGAAACACACAAAAAGCAACCACAGACTAATGCCCTACAAATAAAAAAACACCTGTATATTTAAGATAATTCACCTTCTTATCTCATTTATATGCTTGTACCTTGTGAATACAAAATAATAACTTCTATTTCTTTTTTTTTTATCAGGTGAAAATGTCCATGTGACAGCTTTACATGTCATTGATGGTGAAAGTTTACTCAAGGGGGGAAACATTGCTGCAGTCAATGGGGAAAAACGTGCTGAATCAGCCCAAGGTTGCCAGGAAAATAAAAACTTTTGTTATATTTTTGTTGGAATTCGGGCTTCTTTGCCAGAAAAATCTGACGGTTTAATAAGTGATGCGATATCAATGTTTGGTTTGAAGGAAAAAAGATCTCATAAGTCTATATTGGCGATATATTCAACTTCACAGAGGAAGATTGAGGAGACAAAATCTCCAAAGGAATCCAAAACAAAATCTAAGCCTGCTCTATCGGAGACTGGAAAATCTGGGGGTGTATCAACCTTATCTGAATTACTTATGCCACAGGTTATGTCTCTTGATGAACAGGAGTTGAATTATGTTGAAATTCCATTATCGCTGCCTCCAGTGGATACCCTAGACCCTGTTGATGACCCCACCAGCCAGGATAGTGCAATGAAGGAAGGCTTTCAAAATATAACTAAATTTATTATGTCTATCCGGTTACCCTCGCATATAGATAATGAAAATTTATATGTATCCTCAGTGTTTTCAAGTATAGATCATAACTCTATTGTTGTTATCATGTCCCCTGTTGACTGTTTACCTGTTGTTAAGAAGAATGACAATAGTTCCAAGTGCAATGTAAGAGTCGAAATTGACAAGGATGTTTCAAAATCTAATGGTCTTAGTAAAAATCACAGTGACAAAGATCATTCATTAGGTTTTGATGATGCTGATTTTAATGGAGAAGATGTTTGCGATAAACCTAGCGTTAGTAATGAATTTGGTGTGGCAATTAACGAAGATGCAGCTTACGGTGGAGAAGATGAGGTTGACTTTGGGAAGCCAATGGGAGAAAAAAATACCAAACCATACGGTGGTTACATTTTAGTTTATACGATCTGTTCTGATGAACATGGAAGAATAGAGAAGTTGAGATTGCAAAAATCCTTCATTATTGAGGATCCAACCCGTAGTGTTAGTGATATTATTTTGCTTCCGTTAGAATCTAGTGATACAAACGGTGACAAGAATGAAGACGTAACCGATGCTGCAAATCTACGTGATAGTTCTGTTTCAACGAAAAGCAATGGCACAGAATTATCTTATGGCTTAGATGAAGTGGACGGTGGTATTACACAGAACCTTGGCCAGTTTGCTGCCTTGACAAAAGAGGGCGGTGTAATATTCATGGACATAGCGACATGTAGTACTCTTGCCTACATCCCGCCTTCAATAACGGACGTAGGTGGCAAAGATGGGCATGAGAAACAAGTGGACAAGTTTGCCGCCCTCACCTATTGTTCTGGAATGGAGAGGATAAGTGTTTGTACGGAATCTGGTGAACTGCGATTTTTACAATTGCTGCAACGTTCGGCTACAAACCAGTCTGCTAAGGATGATATTGAATGTGATGCTGGCTTTTCAGTGACAACGCCAGCTGATCAAGACGAGGTCTTCATTCAATGTAAGATATGAGATTGATGTCAATACTTTATATTTTTGTCGATAGTTGATAAAACTTTTATCGGTTTTCACATTTAATTCCAAAAATATTCTTTTTATTCATGTATTATATAATAGTATAATACACAGTGTAACTTCATAAACTTGATGTTTAACCCATTATGCAAAATTAAAAGTAATGATAATAGTAATGGTTATTATTTCATTAATTGTTAATAAATATGTTAATGATTATGTTAAATAATTATGGTTAAAAAATTATTGCATATATTATTATTGCAATCGAACAATCTGTATTGAATATGTAATACCATTCAAAATTCCCTTCAACATTCCATTTTATCTTGGTGAGACAACATAAAATTAATCAAAATAATAATAATAAAAATTAAAATTAATAGCATTTGAAATTAATTGTTTGGTGTTATATTTTCCTATATATAGGCATGATGATACCAATCACACCCATATACTGTATGGGCAAATCATAAATATTTGTTAGTTAAAACTTGATAATGCAGATAAATCTAATTGGTATTTTCTAAATTTTTTTGGTAGTTTATCGACAGTGTTTTTTATTTCGGAATTTATAATAATTTGATATGCAATACTTACTGTATCACAGCTGCTGAGTGCCTTGTCAACCAACCAATCACAGCTGACAGTTTAAAGCAACTGACCGAGTTAACTAAGTTTGAAACTCTAATTCCCCGTTTCTCGGCAACGGTACCTCCTTGTTGGACGGAGATACAACAGGAGCAGCAGCAGCGGCGTCATCCTCAACATCTTCATCAAAAACACCATGGTGATGCGACGCAACACACACGCACATGGAAATTGGCTGCCACAGGGTAAATTCCTATTTTATAATGCTTAAGTAGCATGAGGTTACATTATAATCACAATAAGTTGCTATTGTGCTAAGAATAACAGAAATGTAAAAGAAGCATGGCATATTCCATTATTCTTGGGAGTAAATTTGCTGCCTTCTCATTTACAGTACCGTATTTATTCGAATAGACTCACAGGGCGTTTATTGTTGGAAAGGGTTTTGGAGGTTGCGTTTATTTGAGGGAAGTGTTTATATTTTTTGCGTGTAAAAGGGATACATTGTGCTCAAATAAACTCCCTAATTTCACTGTAAATGTGGAACTTCAAGACATATGAATCTCAACAAGGTTAGAGAAAATGTAATTCTAATGGAGTAGAACATTAATAGAATGTGTTGAGAATGATGTTGCTTCCATTAGATTTGTTTACAGTCATATATATGAGGCCTGTATTTGAGGAAAAAATAATGCCTCGGGGTGTTTATTTAAGGGAGTCATATATTCCAATTGAGGCTCTAGAGGGGCCTTTATTGAAAGCAGGGTGTTTATTAGAATAAATAGGTATTTACCTGTTTTTCATATGTGTTTACCTGTCTTCTCTAATTTCAAAAACTAAAACTTGTTTGTTTAGGGCCAATGAGCATCTCTTCGAGCTTGTTCTACCAAAACCCAGCATCATAGGACACATCGATGTGAAGCTCAACTTCCAGCACTTTTGTGATCGGGTACCTGGAATTCAAATTACGTTGCTGAAACAAACAAGTCAGCATGGTATTGGTATGTTCCACTGTACTATTTTTTAACACATGAAGTAAAAGTAATTTTCTAGCCTAGTTCTACAGTTGAGTCTCCAGACCACTTGCCCTAGGTGGTCCTATTTTTCAAAACACTGTATATCAAACTTGTTGGACCCCTGTGGGCAATTTTCTTGTGTGATTACTGCTGGAATACAGTTAGACAATTTATTAAATTTAATTAAATCATTAAATTAAAAAAAAAAAAACATGAACAACAATATTTGTCCTTAATTATTATTGTTATTTAAATGTTTTATGTTATTCAGGTAAGGACCCTACACCAGTTGACACCCTGATAGACTTCAGTATGGATATGTTGTTCTCTGATGGCAAGGACAGTTCCAAGGACCCGTCAAACGCCACCTCGTCCCTAAACATGCTCCTTGGTGATGTCGAGAAAGATTCAGAAAGATTGAAATCCGTATTCCTCGAGAACCACAAGAATGACATTATCTGTGGCCCACTTTCGTTAGATTCGGCAATCGACGTGCCAGGATGCAGCGGACTTGTGACGCTCACGAGTCACGAGTTACTTAAATCTAAATATCGCTCTTTCTTGCTTCATATATGTAACAGCGAACCGTTGAAAACAGAATCCAGCAGGTCCACTAGAATGAATAGAAAAGGTACATATTTTCCATTTTCTCATATTTTATAGATTCCTTGAAAATTTTTTATATCTGGTCCTAGAATATTAAGTAGAATTCCTAGTTTTTCACCAGACATGTGTAGCGTACAGTTTATATACTTCTCACTTATATATTCAAGATATACAGAAAAGTTAAAATGAGCAGGAAAACTTTAGAATTGATAATATTTTGAACGATAGTTATAAGAGGTAGACATTGGCTGACTAGAACCTCTTTTAAACAGCACATTAGTGGAAAAAGTGGCTAATTTACAAGATAAAAAAATATACCTAGTAATAAATAAGATTCTACATTGCACTACGGTCAAGCGTATTGGGATAGCAAATTCTCATGAGGACTTTAAAAAACAAACTTTTGAAAATGTTAAACCAATGAATAATAATAGCGTAGTTAAATTTATAAAATCTTGAATGCAAAAAGCTTTGACTTTGTATTTTACACAAAAAAATTGCTTAACTTTGTTCCATCTTTTAATCCAATTCTTATTTTCTCTAGATCCTCCATTTATACTGACAATGTTCCAGAACCCCCCACCTGTGACACCCTCAGAGCAAATCTCAGCTTTTGCCTTCACCAAAGACTTGGACAGAATACAGGGCTGTGATTGGATACAGGAAATATCAGTCACGATAAGGAAAACCAAGCGTCCTCCTTGCGTATATAATGATAGGTAAGATCCAATGTTTAAGGCCAGACTTCTTTTATACCTTGTTCACGAACACTTTGACCGCCAATAATGGTAATTTCAATTAAAAAATAGAATTTAATTGGCCAAAATGGAAGTTTAACACAAAAACTAATTTATGTTTACTTTTATTATATTTCTTTTGTAATTATATATATTTAAAGCATTTATCAATCTCATTTATACACTTGTTTACATTCATCAATAACATTTAATTTTTATTTTCTCCTCTGCCTAGATGCTTTTGGCTGCTAAATAAGAAAACAAAATTTTATTTTTAATTTTTTTTCTGCCCTTCTCTGACGATCTTTAAAAAAAATAAGTTTGGTAAACAAGGTATTAAAAAAGTCTCCGCCTAATTAGCAAGTTTTCCATGATAAATATCTATGATTTGCCCATCTATGGGGTGATGGTGTCTGTGGCACCCATGTATTTGTAAGTCATAGGTTTTTGTCACATAAAAATTTATGGTCAGGTCTACTCTATTTCACTCTTATATTTGGAGATATAATAATGCCAGCTTAATGAATCTGAATCTTAACAGTCCTCTTATTTTGTTTATTTAGGGTTCAAAGATTGGCCATGCTGGAATCATCCAGTTTCCATAGAAAAATAGTAAATATATTAATTGGTTCCAAGTCGAGTATTGTCTGCGGCAGTAAGGAGTTCACACGCAGTCTAGCACTTGATATACTCTGTTGGGTGGCTGGCGTCCAAGTATCCGAACCAAATCGGTAAGTTTCAGTCGTCATTCTTGTAAGTTTTATGTGGAAAGAATTGTTTGTAGGTAGTGGGACGATTTAGGCCAAAGTCTAGCCTTGAGAAAAGATTATCCCCTGCAGTGGAATTAATGCATGGGGCATTAAGTCTGGCAACATCCATGGATAGTTTATGGACATGGATGGATAATCTTAATTATTTGAAAGAATGACTTGAGCTATAATACATTAGATATTTCCTAATAAAGAAGTCATAATGATGATAACAATACGATAATAATTTTAGCTTTTCATAATGCTTTTAGGAATGTTTTTATATGAGGCTGCCATCCCAAAACCAGCGTACTGTCACTAATAGTTAAACTGAGTAATTAGCATAAGAATGTGGTGGTATTGTATACTTTAATACAGAGAAGCTGTAATACTTTCACTCATAACTTGGCAACAGTAAGCCGATTGCAATAAATGACCCATTTTGAAACTTATAGTGTGTAGAATAAATGTGGCGAAGACAAGCCAAACCAGTCACTCGTCGCAAATCCTGTATCAGAGATAATGGCCAAAACATGCTGGAATGTCAACATTTTTGAAAGCTTTTATTGCACTTAACTAACTGATAATAACATGCTATTGCTATGCTGTTATTTTCGTCATTTTCAATGTTAAAACAACAATTTTTAACAATTTGTTGATGATTTCTGCCTGAGAAATGCCAGAAATCATAAACTTTGAAGGCCGATTTCTCAAATATTGTTCTTTAAACAGCTGTATGTTTAAACTCCCATAACTTCATAACGAAATGTCGGATTTTAATGATTCTTTTACCATTTTGTAGATCTCATTTTACTGTTTAACATTGTATTAATAACTAATTTTGATTTTTGCGACGAGTCACTGGTTTGACTTGTCTTTGCCACATATGAAAAAGTAAATTTTCATTATTTGGCCACTGATTCTGGTTTTTGAATGGTAAGCCTGATATGTGCTATGCATCATTTAGATAGAGATTTGCAGTAAGAGAAATTATATGAAGTGATATGAGCACTAATCAGATGGCTGTCTGTTTTCATTACGTTATATAGGACATCTTCATCTATAGTTGACGCAGTACAAAGGGAAATGCGGGATATTGTACGCGTCTGTTTCTTGGAGTCTGGTCGAAGCATTGCCCATCGTTGTAGCCAGCTGTTTATGCTGTGTATAGGGTAAGCACCTACTGTTATTGCTGCTGTTGGTATTATAATAGTTATTGTTGTTGTTAGTACAGTTAAACTTGCCTAAAGCGACCTTGCCTAAGACGAATAATTTCTAAGTTCTAAGATCTAATTTTACATGCCAAATTGTTGTGTTTTCTATTAATTAACAATCTGTAAGTCGAATTTTATCTAAGTCGAATTTTATCTAAGTCGAATTTTATCTAAGTCGAACAATATTTCAATGGCATTTTGGATTTGACTTGCAAGTTCAACTGTATTATAAATATGATAAGATAACTGATTATTAGTAATATAACTGTTATGATTAATTTATTTTTGTATTATTGTATTTTTAAATCCATTTGATTACTTCAGAATGTTAGATAGTGACAAAGACAAACAGTAAAGCATTTGTGTGGCCACTCCATGCAAGGTTAAAAGCTGTTGTGAAGCAAGTTATTCTCCGCAATTTTAGACTAATGTTGACACCCCAAGCTTAACAATCCTAGATATAATATTGTAAAATTATATAAAGTATAATGTCTGATGTAATATTTTAAAGATAATGTTTGAAAATTTACAAAAAAATGTTTATAACTATTATAGATGCACTAAAAACCAAGGCAAGGAGGCCATGGCAGCTTTCCATGACACCATGTTGCAGGGACTTCTTAAGTGGGTACCAAGCATTCTTAACACCACTTCTGCCGGCTCTCTCCATTGGTTCTTCTTATTGCTTAACCTTGTAAAGTCTGGAGACTTGGAGTCTACTAGTGAAACCTGTGCATCATTTCTGAATGCTGTTGCTAAGCAACTGCAAGAGAAAATGTTACCTCAACATGCATTGCTAAGGGCAAAGTAATTATTTTTAATTTTTGCTATATTATATTATTTCATGTTGAATTCTTTTCTGTGGTTTTGACTCAATTTGAGTATGATGTACCTGGTTTCTGGTGTCTACATCTTCATGTGGGTGTAAAGGTCAATTCTAGGGGAACAGGTTTTTCACACTTCCCACAATGCAGCAGGTTTTATGTACATTTGTGAAAAATCGTGAATTGATATATTTCACATATTCATATTCAAAACATATTCGTTAATGTGGTAGTGTATTTTTGTAAGTAGTTCTTGTTTAGTTGTTCATTTTATAAATTTCATGATATGTAGAAGGTACACATACAGCCTCGTGGAAGAACACCACCTTGGTGAATGAGCTTCCGTTGCAAAAGAAAGATTTTATTATTATTTATGAACAATCTATGCTTGCAGAAAATGTAATTCTCAGTTGTCTTTCACAGAATTATCTAGGAGAATGCATTCCTCGTTGTTATTTTCTTGACATTTTATAATAAAAAAATTCTAATTTTAACTACAAAATTAATTGTTTTTGTTTTTACAAGATATGGACTTCACGGTACCCCGTTGGACCCTGTTATGTACGATGGGCCGGCAATATTCCTACCAGCTAAGACCAGCGTAACATCCTCTGCCAGCACGATCCAACAACCCATGAACACATTTGCACCCCCACTCCCAGCAACCTCCACAAATTTTCAACAAAGCTTGGGAAGCGATGGGAAGACCCTCGGAGAAAATGGAAAGGGAAATGGAAACGGGAATGGGGAGTTAGTTCCCGCTCCAGGTGGAGTTATGATGAAGGGTATCCTGGAAGTGGAGCCTCTACACTTTGTCTGTTGTGCTACGAGTGATGGTACACAGGTCAAAAAGACTGGAGTTGGTGAGTCACTTGCAAATAGTTGACTTACCCTTATTTAATTAAAGCTTTACGATGTGATGAAGTCTAAAAAATCCCCTAAATTATAAATAAAACATTGAATTTCTCATTTAAAAAAATATCAAATAATTATCCAACTTCCAATGAGACAGTTTAAAGCAATTAATTTTTTGCTAATTTACGGATTTTATACTATAAAAATCATAAAGTTGATAACCAGTTTTTATAAAACAATCACAACATATATTGTAGTTTTTATTGTTTGTCTGATAAATAGGCATGGCAATATTCTTTTGGTTGTCCTGGTTATACCAAGTATTAAGACACATTAAGTAATATGCACTTAATAATGAGTATTGTTGCGCTTATTCAATAGCAGCTCGTAGGCAAGATTTTTTTAATACCTTGTTTAGCAAACTTGCCACCCGCCAATAGTGATGATTTTGCATATAAATGAAATTTTATTTTTGGCCAATTTGTGCAAACTTTGCCACGAAAAAGTGGAAATTTATGAAAAAATAAAAGTTTTTCTTTATTTTTATTACGGCCGTTGCTGCCTTAAAATCTCCAAAGATATGTATGTTTCCTCCTAATTGTATAAGTTTAAAGCATTTAACTATACCATTACTACACTGTTTATTCCGTCTGGATGTTTTTGGCAAAACTGTTTGCTAAATAGGAAAAAGTATTGTCATAGCAAAAAAAAAAAATCATTTTTGGTGCATTAGTTTTATTTAAAGTTAAAGAGGCATTTATACAATCTTTTTATGTTAGTCATTCTATTCACGACTCTTCATTTTTTCCGCAGAAGGAGTGCCAGTTGCAACTCTTCATGCTGGGGGTATGAACGTGAACGAATCCAGTGCCGGGGGACCAGCGGCAGCAGCCGCCCTATCGGCCTTGTCGAATGCCATGACTTCGGCTGAACAACAACTGCAGGTATTGCAACACAGAACTCAGATGCTTGTTAAGCTACAGCAGCGAGTAAGTCAATACATACAAACAACATGCAAAAAAAGAAACATGTATACAAATATGTAAACAAACATACATACAAACCTTGCAACAAGCATGTAAAAACATGATTGTAAACTTACGAACATAAAGGAAGATGCAAACAGAATAAAAATACACACAAACATGTTAACAGACTTCTCAAGTACTACAGAACTTTCATAGAATTTGCTATGAAAATTTTACGGATGCACAGAAATAGACAAAAATACTATGGAGATTTATTGTAATCCTAAACCCATAAATAGGTCAGTGTCTAGAACAAATAACTTTTCCATCAAGATCTTCCGTTACATTGTCCCTAGACAACTCAAACTTGTCAGATTACTAATAAATTATTCTGAAAACTAAGAAAAAGTGGCTCATAAGTCTTATCCTGTCCGGTTTGTTTGAAATTCCAAAGCTATTATACTGTAATTCTGTACCTGTAATAAGCAACCCATATTTTCACTCAGGACAAATTATTAGGTGCTACGGAATGTTTGTATTTACTGTGGATATTTGAAGACATTGCATTTGAAGAAATGCATTTCACTAATTTGAGAAGTCTGTGTTAACACTCACAAATATGTAAACCAATGTGTAGACATGTATTCAAACATGAAGATATAAACACATTATATAAAGGAACATGGAAGCGTACATCCAAAATTTGAATAAACATGTAAACATACACACAATTGGGAAACATACATCTATGCAGGAGCTTAACGAGAGTGAGTCCTGTTTTTGTCTGCTGTGATCACTATCTTTATTTGCTAATATATTTATATTAATATAGAAATAATAATAACATAATATTTTTTCTATTTACTCATTTTTAGTTGTATTTATTATATA